CCGAGCGCGTACCTTCCAAAGGCAAAATGCACCAAGACAATCTCCCCCTGGCCAAGTCGCCCTGGCCAACAAGTCATAGGTTCTTGCGGGATGGGCCGAACCCAAGGGTTGCGGCCAAGCGAGGCAAGCACCGGGATCGAAACGTGGACCTGCGACGGAACGCGGCCTCCACGCTGAAGTCCAAGCAAGCGCGCATCCTCGACAAGCAGAAGAAGATCAAGATGAAGGGGTCGCTGCAGCCGGTCAGGACGCATGGGCCGGGAGGTCGGGTCCAAAATGCCACCGCGCCAATGTGCGAGGGGTTTCCCACATGAGGCTGCCTACCGTCAGGACGGGTGACTGGGGCACTGGGGCACTAGGGTCAACTCACCCATGATCTTGGTAACGAGTCAAGGGTGGTGTTGCCAGATGTGTGTGCCACATAAAAAAGCAATCGATCTTTGAGCTTCCAGGCCCCTTCACTTTTTGAAAGTTTCCTGACGGCTTGTTCGGCGAGATTGGCATGTTTCGTGCCTTTCTGTGCTGAGCGGCCACCCGCGTTCTCGTGCTGCGCGAATGAGCAGGAGATGAGAGGAAACGAGCAATGGGTTCACGAGCACCAGCATGAAAGATCCCAATACTTCTCGTTTGGGGAAACGGGTTTCATGCTCTGAGCTGGTTTTAGCTTTGCACGACAACCCAGATGCACCAAAACCCCAGGCAAAGCCTCCACCCCCCCGGTTGTACCCTCCAGCTCTTGGTGTATGTCAAACTCGTCTCACTGTTCTTGTGGAAAAGGCCCAAACTACGCTAAAAGACCACCGAAAAGATCTACTTTCAATATTTGACTGCGTTCAACGACACGAATATCCGCAGCTATATGTAAGCCCCTTGATTTTCCTTCAACTCCCATCACTTAAAACCAAGTCACAGGATCTCCATCTTCGAGACCTTCTGCGCAGTGGCGCGGCGCCAAAGCGCGGCCCAGCAGAACTCCGGGCCGAGCAACCGCTTTGGCGCCATCAAATCCGGTGTACTCACGGAGGTGGCGAAGTGTCACCAGCGCCTCAACAGGACCGGACGCTAAGGAAAGGAAAGGAAGGCTGTTTAGGCTGCTTCGGGGAGATTTGGAGTGAGACCCTGGAAGAAAAGCAGTTGGTCTTCAAAGATTGTTGGATGCTTGTCAAATGGACATGAAAACCATGACATGTCCTTGGGTGTGATCCTGCTTCCGGATGTGGAGTTATGACACATTGAAGTTGATAGCGCCATTTGCCGCTTGTGTTAAGGGAGCTTGGCAAATAGAGCCGCCTGACCAGCAATTCGTTAAAGGCACATGTCAAGTGCTTACTTGCCCACTCGCTGATCCAACAGCCAAAAGCCCCTTCCTCATGTCGGTTGCATCCGGTCGCATTTGTATACAAAGGCTACCTATGGAAGCAATCCGGGACACAACACCAAAAGCCACTGGACAAACAGAATGTTGAGATCATGCCCAACCTTGACCAGATTGGAGCCACTGGTTTGTCTGGCGAAAGGGCACTCCTGTGCTCGTATTGGCCAATCCCCATATAGACCATATAGATGTCTTTTTGAAGGTGTCCATGGCAGATTGTTGAGTTATGCCTTTTTGGGACAGGGTACTGCTCCAAAGAACGAATCCCATGCGGAGTTTGGCGGATGCAGAGGTTACCTGGTTACCTTCAGGAGGCAGCGGCAAGGGAAAACAACGGACTAAAGATGCAAGAGCCCACTCCTTTCTTGCCCTGGGTGAACTGTGAAGAGGTATTGGTATCCCTTTTGCCCCTTCGGTCCCTTGCAATGAACACCCGGGTAGAGTCAATGAAAGTCAGCTGCTGGGAAGACTCCCAACAGATAGGTCCGCATCATTTCACCCTTTAGATTCTTTTGCATGGGTTTTGGGTAGACCCCTTTCATACTCACATGTGCTCGCTTCGGTAAACCTGCCTGTGCGAGCAGCAACAACGATCGGCTTGGTGCATTGCTTCGCTTTGGGGTGGATGGGATCAATTCCTGGGGTTTGACCTCCCGAGAGCAAATCGGATCCCCAAAAGAAGGGTCCTCCAGAAATAAATGTTTGGGTGGGTTCCATCTAAATCTGAAAGGGAGCGCCAGCCTCATATTTGTGATGTCGGTTTGCCAGACCCCCCTACTTGACACCTTTTGTCCCTTCGTGGCGTCGCCAGGACTATGCCTGGTGAAGGGTCGGGCTATCGGCCTACTGTGCACGTGGCGGCTCGCAGGGGCCAGGCGGCCATGTTCGTGCAGCGCAACACCAAGAACTGCGAGGCCCTTTGCTCGGCAGATGTCAAATACGAGAAACTGTTTGTTTGCTTGCTTGCTTGCTTTGCTTTGCTTTCCTGCTTGCCTGTTTGCTTGCTTGCCTATTGTTTGCTTTGCTTGCTTGCTTGCTTGCTTGCTTGCCTGTTTGATTGTTTGCTTGCTTGCTTGCTTGCTTGCTTGCCTGTTTGATTGTTTGTTTGCTTGCTTGCTTGCCTGCTTTGCTTGCTTGCCTGTTTGCTTGCTTGCTTTGCTCGCTTGCTTGCCTGTTTGGTTGATTGTTTGTTTGCTTGTTTGTTTGCTTGCTTGCTTTGCCTGCTTGCTTGTTTGCTTGCTTGCTTTGCTTTGCTTGCCTGCTTGTGTGTTTGCTTGCTTGCCTGTTTGCTTGCTTGCTTTGCTTGCTTGCTTGCTTGCTTGCCTGTTTGGTTGATTGTTTGGTTGCTTGTTTGTTTTTGTTGGTTGTTTGCTTGCTTGTTTGTTTGCTTGCTTTGCCTGCTTGCCTGTTTGCTTTGCTTGATTGCGTGTTGTTTGATTGGTTGTTTGCTTGTTTGCCTTGTTGCTTGCTTGCTTGCTTGCTCGCTTTGCTTTGCTTGCCTGTTTGGTTGGTTGTTTGTTTGTTTGCTTGCTTTTCTTTTCTTGCTTGCCTGTTTGCGTGCTTGCTTTGTTTGCTTGCTTTGCTTGCTTGCCTGTTTGTTTGCTTGTTTGTTTGCTTGATTGGTTTGCTTGCTTGCTTGCCTGTTTGTTTGTTTGTTTTGGTTGGTTGGTTGATATGTTTGTTATGGGTTCCCTTGTCTTTGTTTGTTTGTTTGCTTGTTTGTTTGTTTGTTTGTTTGTTTCTTGCTCGCTGTGTTGTTCGGCGGTTTGTTTGTTTCCTGCGTCTTCCTTCTTTCTGTCTTTCTGTGGTTTGTTTGTTTGTGGACGGAACGCCCGGCACCCGGCACCCCAATTCCGGACAGATGGACAATGGCAGGTGACGGCGGCCAAGCAGTCGGGCCTCGTGGACGATGAGTTTGAGGCATGGATGCGGCAGCAGTTTCAGGCGGGACCGGAGCTGATGCCCATGTTTGCCAGAAAGGAACCCCAAAGGAGATGTAATGTACAGAGAAGCCAAAGGGCTATGTTTGGTTTCCCCTTGATTCGAGACTCAGCTTCTTATGGGTCCCAAATCGAAAATTGTTGCCATCAGTGTAACCACCTGACCACCTGGAGCACATTTTTGGAGCACGATGTATCAACTGTTTTTGCCATGTTTGTTTGTTTGTTTGTTTGTTTGTTTGTTTGTTTGTTTGTTTAGTTGTTTGCTTGTTGTTTGTTTGTTTGTTTGTTTGTTTGTTTGGTTTGTTTGTTTGTTTGTGTGTGTGCGCATGTGCTGGTGTCTGGTCATATGTTATTTGTACTATGCATTGTGTTGTTTATTTGTGTTGGTTTTTTGTGCCTTGTGTGTTTGCATGATTTGCGTGTTCCTCCTTCGTAAAGGTTTGAACGTCGTCCTACCAGGCATGCACGTTTGTCGCCGGGACCGGAAACCGGGGAACACACAAATCCAAACAGTATCCCGAACGATACTCGCGGGATGCCCCGAACAACCCCATTAGCCCATTTGCCACGCCAAGCCTACTATTCTTTCAGTGCCGGCTGCTAGCTGCTAGATGCTGGTGCAGACAACAAATTTGCGCAACTTGTGCAAGGCAAGCAGGAATCCTGCAAGATGCTGGCAAATGATAGGGCCCCAACAAGTCCCAAAGGATATGAAGCTGGAACACAAACTTGGCACACCGTTCATGTGGTTGCGTGTGCGCCTGTATTTTCCATTGTGTGTTTATAGCATGTTCGTGTGTTCGTGTGTCTGAGTGCTTGTGTACATATATATATATATATATATCCATATGTATTTACAAATGTCTATATGAGTGTGGCTCAAAATGTACGAGCTGGGGTTGCGCAGGTTATATATATATACACATGTGTTTGTTGTCGTTAGTGTTCTTACGTGTGCGTGTTGGTGTGTATGCGCTGCGCCGAGTTCGCAGGGTGTTTGTGTGGGTTTGTGCGTGCGAGTTTGTGAGCCACTGGTGCAGTGTGCCCTTGTGAGGTCAGGTTTTAAGCAGACATTGCTAGTGTTCCTGCCTTGGGACAGAAGCTTTTCTTACTCTCCGGCAGGTTGCTCAGTGATCCGTTGACACCACGACGGGCACCCCTAAGGGCTGTGCCTGTCACCGAATTCGCTGCAAGGGAAAGCATGCGCCAGCCCAAGGAGTCGTTCTCAACTTGAGTTCATTGCTTACTGGGTGGCAGGATAAGCTGGGAGGAAATGCTCTGTGGCAACTTCTCAGGCCCTTGACTCGAAGGCTCTCGGCAGCTTGTACCCTTTGTGCAGGAATCCCGGCTCGCTGGGGTGGTTTCACCGCGCTGGCCCAGGCGGAACTTGGGAAAAATGAGGAGAAATGGCGCGCCGGGCGCCATTTTGGGCTTTGGATGTCTTGCATGGTGCCGTTGTGCCGGCTTCCTCGCGTTCACGTATTGTGGGCGGCATCTTGTTGGAAAAGCTCGCTTTAGCGAAGCAGTCCTTTGGGCGATCTTGTTTTGGGAAGTCAGAGGCGGATCCCTCTTTGCCGAAAAAGCGGGGCGTGTTTGTTTCCTCCGCAACAAGCAGCCTGGCTCCGGCCGTTCGCGAACGGCCGTTTGGTTTCCCCGGGCTTGCTGAACCACTGCCAGCCAAGGCGCATTGGAACTCCTTGCCCGGCGCTCAGGCTTCAGAAGGGGATGTGCCGCCCGACCATATCAGTCCAAAGCCAATCTCTTGGCCCGGTTTCCCAGTGTTCGCCAATTTTCCGGGTACCTCAAGTTTTCCTGGATTTTCCTGGCATTGAGTGCAGGTCCCTTTGCCTGATTTGGCGGTTGGCTAATCTCGGGGAGTGAGTTGCATAGATGTTGGCATATGTTGGCATTTTGTGTTGGGCTGTGTCCTGCCTGCGCGCTATTTGCCATCAACCATTGCCGTCAATTCATGCTGCATATGTGAGCTGATTAGTTTATCCCTCAATCTCAAAACGATTTAGGTTTGCACTCAGGTTTGGTTGGCGCAGCTGCTTCCTGCTAAGATCTGCATCGGTGTTTTGCTGCGGTATTCCTCAAACCTCGGCGGCATGACCCCTTTGGGATCCATAGCTTCGGAAATCCGAAGTTGACCCCCTCCCTTAGGAGGCCCTTTCCAAAGCGCAACGAGAGCTCAGACCAAGGCGTGGCATGACGCGGCATGAGGCACTTCGACAATACGGTATCCTGACGCTGGGCCGGTCATGTTTGAGTCGGACACAGGTCAATCCACCCCAAATGCTGTTGGAGCAACCGCGGTTGTCAAGGCATCCCCAAAGACTACTGGTGCCTTCGCGGGCTTGCGATGAGAAGAAGGACCGGAGGGCCCAAGTCTGACAAGTCACTAAGTCATGGCTCAAGACTTCAACGACAGGCCTATTACCGCAGGAGATGACACCATAGGCTCTGGAGCAACAGGTAGAGTTCTGGAAGGGTTCTGCTTGTTTGTTGGTTGTTTGTTTGTGTTTGTTTGGGGAGGCCTCCTGTGATTAAACCAAAACAGCAAGCTCAGAACCGATTGCTAAGGTAAGGTTGGGAAACAACAGTCAGGTGTTGCTATGGTTTGACCAGCTAATTAAAGCTGCATGCAAGGTGTTGGCCTAAGCAACAATCTTCAAAGGTCCTAGAAACTTCGGTTTTTGCTTCCATGCCAAGGGTAAGTGGACATGATAGATATCGCTTGGCGTACAAAAGGCTAAGCCTTTGCGCTGCTATGACCAAATGTGACTACACATGAAGCAACCTGACTGAGGCTTTGGGCCTGAGCTGACCTTGATTTATTTAGGGGGGCCTACATGAGCCCCAGCACCAGGCTATGCCAGGCTTGTCTTACAACCACGTGGCAGGCACCGCCCCAAACCTCTCTGATTTGTTGGTTGTGCGGTGATTTCCCCAACCGCTGCTTAGGGGGGCAGTTTAGCTCGGTTGTGCCCTCTTTCCCACTAAAAATGGCCTTCCCCAAATGAGTTCCCTTTTTTCTCCAGAGTGAACAACTGAGCTAGTGGTCACTGAGAGCTGGACGCGCTGCTGAAGCCAGGTCCACCAAGCTGCCCAAGAACGAGGTGAAGGACCCCGATGCGGACGCAAAGAGCTGAGGCTCCAGATGCGAGCCCCGGAGGCCGGTGGCCCTCAGGTAGCCCCAACTCACAGGGCGTTGGTTTGGATGCCGACGTCCAAAGGAGTCCAACAGGCTGTTGAAAGCCGGCCCCAAGAGACCATGGCCATTCGGAGTAAAGAATCCTTGGGTTGCTCGTTTCCCTTGGTTTCAACCAGCTTTGGTCATGAAGGGCCAACAGGGCGTACTGTTCAGGTCCAGTGAATTCTGCAGTGACACCCTGTATCCATGTTTGATGAGTCCCCACTTGGTGCCGACATGTCAACAAGACCTACAGCTCCACGCCAACGTTTGGCTTTGAAAAGAATGCGTGATTGCCCGTGACACAAATGGTGGTGTGTTTGTGGAGTCAAAAGAACCGGCCTTGTCATGAACCTCCATATGGGGGGAGATCACATCAACAAAGCCCCTGAATATCCTTTTGATCCTGGGCTTTCCCAGGTAGGAAGCCCCCCATAGGCCACCTTGGGGGTCCCATGATATATGACCCTGAAATGACTTTAACAAAGCCGACCATCCGGGAAGCCCCCAAAGCCTTCCGTGCTCTCGCCGCGCGGGGCATACCGTTGAAGGCCAGAGAGGCCAGAGATGCTGGCAAGTTGTCGCCACACAAGACCTGGGGGAGTGACCTGTGGCTGTTTCTTTTTGTTTCTTACAAACGGTTGCCATTACTCGGAACCGATGAGCCAACGTTTTGGAGCAGCTTTTGCCCTGCGAACGGTCCATCACGAGTTTCTCCGCTCAGTGCAGCCGGGCGAGGCGGAAGGCGAGTGAGACGTTTCAACGCGAAGGCCCGTCGAACGACGGACCTGGGCCCGGACCGTGGCAACCCGAATCGAGGCGATGCGGCGGGTAACTAAGCCCTCCATGAGGGGATATGAAGGGGTTCCTGGAAGGATCCAATTCTCATTTCAGGTTTCAAGAGTACTGTTGAGTGCGAGGCACACTTTTGATACACCATGATGGTGATCGGATGATCCCCATTCTTGCAGGGAAATGGGGCGCAGGTCCATGGACAACAGAATCTACTTCTACCTACCTGAAAAGATTTGCTGGCCATCCCGGAAGTGGCGGAAAGTAAAAACGTGAGGGCAGGAAGTCCAAGCCATGCCATTCTGGCCTGGGCTCGCATCTCGTGCAGTGGCCGAACATTTGTCAAGCCGGCCTGTTAGCTCAGCGGAACACTGGAGCCCACGGTGCTTGACATGGTGCGGTTCAGCCTTGCCATCAATGGTCAGTCGAGTGGCTCAGGATCCACACCGGCTTGCTTAAGACAGGAAGTGGGAGCCAATGGAACTGCGATCAGTTTTTGTTACAGGCGCTTTTGGAAGGACTGGAAAACAGGATTTGGGGTACACCCTTTTCCCTGCCCCCTGATTTTTGCAAAATGATGTTTCTTTTACGACCGCCTAACAAGACTGAATTGGGCTCTTTCTGGCAGAAGCAGGTTTAGTGGGCTCCAGGAGTTCTTTTGCAAGGCATTGTTTGGGCATGTAGGAATGGTGCATGTACATAGATCAAGCCTCCTGCTTGGACAGCATGAGATGGTTCTGCCTTTGGCCTTGATTCATGTCGAGTCCCAATGATTTGTCTCCATGTGTGTGGGTAGACTCCGTTGCCAGGTTCTGGTGGCTTGACTTGATGGACGGATAGCAAGTTGGTATCAGGTTTTGATTGGTACTGCAACTGTTTGGTGTGGAGAGCCATCTCTGCTGGACCAAGGCGCGGAGAAAAAAAGAGAGAAATCCGCGGAGGAAACGAGTGCAGAGGTGCATGGCTTCCCCCAGGAGAATCGAGTTTGTTCAAGCTTGCAGGCTTTTTTTTAAAATAGCTTTTTTGGAATGGCTAGGCTTTGGAGTCGATGACTTGATGGGACTGGGGCCGCCTTGAAAATTATGGTTTGAGCGCGACATAGTGCGACTCCTTTGGCAAAGGGGTCTACATTAATTACCATGCTTTCGCAGTGCTTCAGTCTCTTGGCTCCACGTGACACCTTTAACAAGTTGCACAACTCTAACTGCCCCGTTTCGGCACAGACATTTCTTGTTAGAAGTAAGATGAAGTCTAGACGAAGCGAAGCAGTGACAAAGCTTAGACAGCCACTCTTCGCGAGTAGCCGCCATGACCCTGTCTGCCAGCAGAGCGCTGTCCAGGTCGCCTTTGTTCACAGTTCGCAAAACGGGCGTTTCGGAGATCAACCAAGGGACTGCTTAGCGTGAAGGGGCGGGGGAGTAGAGGCACATGCTGTTAAATCATGCTTCCGAGCCTGAAAAACCCAGCAACACAGTCGCTTTGTTTGTTGGCTTTAGGGAATAGGGGTTGTGTATCTGCAATTTTGGCCGAAGGCTTCATTGCACGATCCTTCTCTGTTAGTTTGTACATCCTTTAGCTTGCCTTGCCAGTGGCCCAACCCCTCGGGCCATTTGTCGTCACATCTTGCTTAGGCCCCCGAACGCCATAGGCATCATCAAGCCATTAACAATGCTCCTGAGCATGCTGCGAACCAGCTCTAAAACTGCGAACACTTGTATATGAGTTGTTGCTTAGTACTATGCAAGACAAGCAAGTTCTGAGGTTGCCTTAGGGATCTGGTTGGGCGCGCCAACTGGTACCTGCATATGCATAGAATATTGCCAGAACATTCTTGCAGATCAAAGTGCTCGTTTGTCCAGAGTCCATTCCGTAGCCAAACATATAGCGAGACACGGGCAAACCCACCGATCACAAGCAGAGCACAGAAAAATCAGGCAGCGTGCCAAATACAGGGATTATCGGCGATGCAAGCTCAGGAAGCTAAGGCACCCCACACCACAAAGACCTGACTCACGTAGTAAAACGCAGGTTTCTCATTATTGTTTGGGGTGGGGCCGATATTCTGAAAGTGTCATTTTGATGGACCCAGAAACATGCCGCTCTTAATTTTGGAGGATGGCCCGCACCCAAGGAATTCCATTTACTCAGCGAATATGAAGGGTGATTTGCTTTGCACGGATTCAGATGAATATATTTGTTAAGAGCGTGCCTGTCTCAAAGCAATACAATGGACCATGGATGTATCATTATTTGCCTCATCGGGCATACTCCGGTGTACCTAGCTGACAAATCTCGTTTGCCGGTGGACGAGGGTTGTGGCTAAACAAGCGCAACACACGTCTGAATATTTGTGTTTCATTGTTTTGCTTTCGGATCCCTGGAAGTTTCGAGGTGCATTCCCTCACGGAAGCTGCCAGCGGTCCAAATCATTTGGGGATGCTTCTGGGTTTGGGACCTGCGGGAGGCGTATAGCAAGATCCAGGCTCGCAATCGGCAGCTCCCTCAGCTTGTGGCTGTTAAGAGTTCTTAGCTTCCACCCTTGTCGCCAAGGATGAGTTGAGAGACCATGGCGAGCCTGCCTTGATTGCTCCCTGTCATTCGCTGAATCTAGGCCATTCCTTCAGCGGCCTCAGCGAGCCCGGTGAGGTACCTGGGGCATGGCGTTTTGGGCTCTCGCGTGCTACATCTGACATGAGTACATGTGGCATCGCAACGTGACTTTCATACTCGGGGGGGGAGCCCCGAAAATGAAGTGGTGTCCCTTTAAGCCGACCTAAATTGGATTCAACATCACCAGTGGGCCTGTAATTACCGCCGAACAAGCAATTTATAGAGGGGCACAGCTGGACCTCACACGGAGCATCCGAACTGCTGTTTAGGTAGCTTGGATGTTGGCTTTGCGGGCTGCTCGGGCTTGTTCAAGACGGCTCGCATACAGCAAGAGGAGGAAGTCAACAACAGACGGCGCATGCTTTTGTCCGGGCGGCCATCAGTATGACGTGCCCTAGGTAAGGTGAAAAGGTCAAAGCAGAGTCGAGCTTTTGAGTTGTTCAGAGGTTGCTCACTGGCAGGCCTCACGGCCCCGGACGCGGACTCGGCAAAAGCCCGCCGCCGCGGGGTCTATCTTTCCAGAAAGGAAAAAAACAACCTTTTGCACAGAAACAACCCACAACTTGCCATTTCTTTTTGTCGCTTCTTACAGAACGAAGTATATTATACCATTCCATTTTCCGGTGAATTCCACCCCGTTGTCTTTGGGTTGACAACGGCTGTCCGTTCCATGGCCACTGGGGCCCCGGCTGACACGGTGCCATGCCAAGCTCAGTAGCCTGCCGTCACCTCTCTTGCAGGTGTGTTTTTCAGTGTTTCATTCAAAGTGCTCTCGCTCAGCAAAGTTCTCTTGCTCGCATCTTTTGTATCTCGCACTTTGCTTTTGGCCATGTAGCGAAAGATGACGAGCGGATGCCGGCTGACTCGCTGAGGCTGATCATGACCCCGCGAATTAGCGAGAAGCGAGGCACATCCGATGGCCTTGCGCATGGGGAGTTCTCACGGCAAGGTGCCGGGGCCTACTTGGGTCTGAGCCTACTCATCTGCCCCATGACCATCGAGAAAACTATTATGTATGTCATGCATGTTCTTCTCTGGGCACCTCTGGATAGGACATGAGAAAGAGGTGAAGGTCTCCAGCACTATTGTCTTGGTTGAGATGTGCCGTGTAGCCGCGGCAGCGCTGTCTTTGATCAGCATCTTTCCCACCCTTCCAAACCCTTCATACCGCTGCCGGTGTCTTGCCCAATCCCTCCCTGCAAATGGCACCCAAGCGAACATCACGTCCAACACCTGCAAAATCTCACCGAATCAATATTTGGCGTTGCATTCCCAATTTGATCTGGTTTGAGTCACGGTTTCGGGAGGTCACCCCATTCTTTGGTCCTTCAAACGCGAGAGAATGCTGATGCAAAGCTAACGCAGAAGTTGGGCTCCGGGCGCTGCATGCGCATGCTTCCGCCAGTGGATCCGGGAAAGCATGTCTCCTGGCTTTGCACGGCTGGCGATTCTCAAGGATTTGCAGTCCAGTAAATCTGCGTTTGAAGCAAGTTGCCGGTCCGTGGCGGGAATGTCTTTCCCCGCGAGGTTTGGAAGCGAGGCACCCCTGGAATTGGTCAAGCAAAATACTTCCAGATCTCATACGAGGAAACCCATGTTCCCGGCTGGGATTGTCATGATTGTGATAATTCACCCATGGGCTATGTCAAAGCGAACGAATGTACCCCCCCCATTTTGGGGTTTCAAGATCTTGAGGACCACCAGTACCATGAAGGGCTAGAGACTTGCTAAGCTTATGCTCCCATCAGATCTGAGGTTTTCAAGTTCGCCACACCGCCAGCCTGATGATGTTGGCCAGGTGGCGACGCGCGGGTGTCCAAGCAGATGCCTTGGATCTTCCGGAATGAGGCGGCAAACGCCGGCGGCCCAGACCAAAATTTGGTGTCCATCGGTTTAAACACCATTTGGGCCCGTTTAAGGTGAGCTTCTCTTGGTGAGGTCGTTTAGAGAAACGAAGGGAAGCCTGATCATGGACGCTGACACCCGCCCGTTTGGATTCACCAAGGCAATAAAGGTTGAAAAGCCAGGGCCAGGGAGGTCCCGTACAAGGATTTAAGGATTGCCTGTCCCACAAGCCATGCCAGTGGACAGGGAGCTTCCCAAAAGGAACGCCTGCTTCCGGCCTAAGTCGGGTGGTAAGTTGGCAGTCTAAGATGTTGGGGTGGTGAGCTTCAGATGGCCTCCCCAGCGGAACCCCTTGGAGAGGCTTCTATGGTTCTGTCAGCCAGGCGCTCTGCCGCTCTGAGGGGCCGTTATTCGATGCCCTGGGCATCGAAATTCTTGGCTGATGCCAAGGTGGAGGAGCTACGTGGGTTGGGCACGGCAGCGCTCGTAAACGTCAGAGCCTGAGACGCGAAAGGTGCAGCCTGTTTCCCGTGGAAGGATCCACGACTTTGTCAGGCCATACCAATCCCCCTTGCAATGTTTTTACAAAATGGGAGGGGTTGACCTCCCTATCCACGTTGATTTTGCACGCATGCTATAGAATGGGTGTGCCAACGCCACCCCCTAAATTTCCAGGGGGATCCATACCAAATAGTTTAGGTTTCACTGCATTGTGACGGATGCAATGACCCTATTCTGTGTTGAGAATCGAGGCCAGGCTGGCTTTGGCACCTTTGTGTTTGCTCGCCTGTGGGTCCGCATGCGCTCACTGTCGTATTCCAGCGTGCTCCTGGGAAACAAGCAGTCCAACATCATCCAACCACTACTTAACAAGCCAGTGAATCCGGGAGACAAGCAACAATCAATACAGCAACAATCATGGAGAACCCTTTGTGCTAGCCTCCCAGCAAGTAGACCACTCCAACTGATTAGCTGATTTGTGTGACATCTGGGGTGTTGGGACATGTGAAGCCAGGGGGGGTCCAATGAACCTCACCAGTTCTTCACTTCCGGATGCAGGTGGAGAGCAGCGAGGGCCGAGAACTAGGCCCGAACCCCCGAACCCACGAGCCGTTTTCATGGCTCAAGGGGAAAAGACCCACTGGGACAAAGCACCGGTTTGCTCCTGCGAAATTGGGGGGTTGCAGAAATGACCCCACACCCTTCACATGTTTTGGCCTCTTGTACTACAGGTATTCTTGACATGGTTTTAAAGTACCTCTGCTCCAGGCAGGGGCACGGATTACCTTCCAGTCATAGCTCACAGCCGGTATTGGATGTATGGAGGTGTTATGCCATTTCTGTCCGGGGTCCGTACTGCGTTACAAGGTGTTTTTTTGGCGGCATATCAGCGGATATAAGCATCCATACCTCCAAAAGGCGACGAAAGTGAGTGCAGAAATTCGTTTGTCCAGAGCCCCTTGCAAGCGCCAGGAATTCCTCTCTCCAACACGCAGTGTGCGCTTTTGGACGGTTTGGGGTGGGTGTGGTGGCCGTAGGTAGGGAGCTCGTTTGTTTGTGGCTGGGAAGGGCCGACTAGTTTGAGTCGGGCAGCCATGTATCAGCCAAAGCTGGAGCCAGCATTGGGCCAGACATTAAGAAGGGGACAGTTGATATCACATTTGGTGCTTGAAACATGTTGAGAACACACTGAAAACACAGTCTCTCACTCGTGCGGTTGTGGCTGCGACAGCTTGAGCTGCAGGCATCGCAATGTGCAACCTGACCAAGGGCGGCAGCACCGGCGTGAACGTCCTCGCGCGCGCCCCGGTGCAACGAATTCAGATTTCATTTCGCCGGCAACTCAGCTGCTGCAAGAACTCTCATGCCTCAAAAGCTGCTCGAAGTCCCATCAAAAAGTACACGCGCCAACTGAAAGCTCTTGGGAGATTCAGAAATACCAGCACGAACATGCATGCCTACACACGCGCGCGCACGCACAAGCACACACACACACACACACACGCACACCCACACACACACACACCCACACCCACACCCACACCCACACCCACACCCACACCCACACCCACACCCACACCCACACCCACACCCACACCCACACCCACACCCACACCCACACCCACACCCACACCCACACCCACACCCACACCACACCCACACACCACACCCACACACCACACACACACACACACACCCACACCACACACCACACACGCACACGCACACGCACACGCACACGCACACGCACACGCACACGCACACGCACACGCACACGCACACGCACACGCACACGCACACGCACACGCACACGCACACGCACACGCACACGCACACGCACACGCACACGCACACGCACACGCACACGCACACGCACACGCACACGCACACGCACACGCACACGCACACGCACACGCACGCGCACGCGCACGCACCCGCACGCGCACGCGCACGCGCACGCGCACGCGCACGCGCACGCGCACGCGCACCCCGCGCCCCGCCACGCCACGCCCGCCCCCCCCCCCCGCCCCGCCACGCCACGCCCGCCACGCCACGCCGCCACGCCACGCCACGCCACGCCACGCCACGCCACGCCACGCCACGCCACGCCACGCCACGCCACGCCACGCCACGCCACGCCACGCCACGCCACGCCACGCCACGCCACGCCACGCCACGCCACGCCACGCCACGCCACGCCACGCCCGTGCCACCATATGGTAATGCAATGCGACGTTTGCGTAGGTACGGACACTCGCACGTGCACGTGCTTGAGCAACTCAGCATTCCTCTAATTCAGTGGGTAGGGAATGGTGAAGGGGGACCAGCTGATGTGCTTCTGCAAATTCAAGGGTGCCCTCAGATTACATTTCCAGAAGAGGAGATCCCTGAAGAGCTTCTAGCCGTTCAGCATGTGTGTACTGCAGGTTGTCGCGTGTATGTTTCCTTTCAGGGGCCACGGGTAGCCAAAGGGCCAGTTCTGTTCCTGCGCTATCTCTATTTATCTTTCTCTTTCTCTCCAAAATTTAGTTCTTTGTGTGTTCCATATCGCCAGATATCGCCAGCTGCTTGAGGACTGCAGAAGGGCCAGTTGACGGTTTTTGCCATCCAACACGGCGACTGTCTTTGTTTCCCTTGGCTCAGTTGCCCGAAGCCGGCTGTTTAGCCTGTTGGCTTTCCTTGGGTCCATATCTTTGTGACCACAACTTATGTCCACAGGTTCAGCCTGACTTAGGCGCGCATGCTGAGCGACAACGTAGACACAAGTATTGACCTCGACTTCTTTCGTGCCAGAGTACTTCGGGCTTTGGAGGCCTTTGCCGCGGCGCTCGCTAGGCCAATGGCTGCCGCGGATGGAACTCAGAGAATTTACATCCCAACTGATATCCCGTTTTTGATCAGAAAGTTAGGGATTTCGGTCTCCAAGGGAATTGATGCTGATTTATGAACGATACCGTTGGGACACCTTCGAATCAACCACGGGTTCAACGGCGTAACAATCCGCCACATGGAGTCCCATATTCATCGAGCTGGATTCAAGCCATGATGCAAGTCTTGCATAAGGATGCAGAAGGTGTATTTACTGAAAAACAGTTCCTCTGGCTCCTTTCCTGGGGTGCCCATCCCAGGAATGGTCTTTGAGCTTTGCCCCTGGCCAGTGAGTGGCGCGGCAATAAGACTGTTTTTCTGGTTAGCCATCCTAGGAGAAAACACACATAAAAAAACGTGGGCATTCCCAACTGTACCCGTGAATGGGGGGGTGCATGGCCTTATGAAAATCATTGGGCTAATTAGCAAGATGTTGGAAGTAGGTTCTGGCTCCGCTAATCCTAGGTAAAATCAATGCAGGGATGGACACCCCCCAAATGCATCCCACCCATTCATGCGTCAGGGCATGCACCAAGGTCGGCCGGCGGCGTCTCGCAAGTCCAAAGTCACCTCTTGTCCCGCCGAAGCCGTCCAGGCTTCAAGCCCAGATTAACCCGTTAATCTGGGCAGGGCGTGCCGCCTGAAGTGTGGAGAGACAGGCCGCCGGTGCCAACCCGGGACGGGATCATGGCAGCTGAGCCAGGCTTAGCATCGCTTTGAGTTCCAGGCTTTCAGTTTTTTCCCCTACAAGCGCGGGGCTTCCAAAGCCCCGAGAGGGGTCTAGTTTGAGACACAGAAGTCCGTGGTAAGTCCAAGGATGTGGATGCGCTGAGTGCGTTGCTGCGGCGGAAAGGGCAGATGCTCCAGCTTGCGCAGCAACAGTACGCTCAGTGGCAAGCGATCCTTGGGGAGATGCATTCAGAGCTAGGGACTCCAGCTACACCGCCTTTTGAAAGTGACGGCAAGCTATCTGGCGCCTTGGCCTTCAGCCAGGTGCTACCCTGCTTTCCCCCTTGGTAACCTTGCTATGTTGTTTTCCCATATGTCCTTTGGCTGCCAGACCGTCCAAAAATGTTGACATCAGAGCTGTTTGGCACCGGGATGCGGCGGGCGACCAAAGGAGCGCATGGGCACGGTTGGCTCAGGGGCATGAAACAAGTTAAACCCCTTGCGGCTTTTGAAAGATGAGCAAAGGTGTCACCCCAGCCCGCCTGCAATGAGGGGCAATGTCAGGGTGGTTGAGGGGCAAGGTGAGGGTGGGGAGTGCAAGGCACCGAGCCTTGAACGCCAAGCCACTGAAATTCCTTTGCAATCAATCTGAGGATAAAGTCACCACAATGTACACACTCGCCATGTCTCACTTCAACAGTGTTTTACGTGTGCACTGTATATGTTGTTGGGTTTGTATGCTCAATATGTATGCAAGTCATGAATTCATTTGTCCACATGTACACATGCACATTTACACATATAGATAGGACCGAGGTTTGATGAGTTTGAGCTCTGTTGTTCCAGTGTTGTATGCCTTTTCTTGCCTCGTTGATTTGTGGCATATTTTTTGGGGGGCATATGCATATACATATGTGTATACATACATAGGGAATGTATGTAAGCAATGATATCAACATTTGCCATTTGACAGAGTCTGCACGTATCTAAGGAGTATTGGGACAACAACACGGGAAGTTCAAAACAACCTTTAACACAATTTGGGATTCAAGTTTGTTTTTGGAAAGGAATCCTTATATAAATTATATTCGAACATAAAGCATGTTTGGCAAGCTATATCCCGAGTAAATTATGTCCAACATTCCAAATCAATTTGAAGTAAAATCCTATTTGGAAAGGACATCATATTGGGGCATTTCGGAGGTCTCCAGGCTCCAAATTATGAGGCTTTGGGGTGTCCGAAATTGAACATTTGGAGGATAAACATCTCCATGTTTCTCGATGTGTCATCCCCAAAAAGCACCAACACCTGGATCCTGGCAGGGGGTAGCATATGTATATATATATAGGGGTGTATGTGAGAGTGTGTATGCATAAGTATGCATATGTATACACATTTTCCCTTACATATGCGCGCACTTGCACGCATCAAATTGCGGTTGTTACCAATGACCATGAATAGACATGCGCATCACGGATGTGTATATATATAGAGAGATTATACATATTATACATATATAATTATACATTTACCTATGCACATTCCATTTCATATATGTGTATACGTATATTACATGCACAGTTTCACCCCCAACGTGTAAAATGCAAAGGTGCATGAACGAATTCATTCCAGACGTTACATGAACTCACATCTCTTTGTGGGTTCCCAGGCGTTTCGCTCAGTGCGCAGCCCTGCGTCACCGATTTGGAGGAGAGCTTAGAGTCCTTGGAGCCATGGCCGGAGGCAATGGACGCCCCCGCCAGTCGCCCCAATTGGATGTGGTGCCCGGTAGGCATAAGGGCGAGCCCCAGGAAAGAGGCCGCCCGTCCCATCTTCCCAAACCAAGCTGAACCACCATCAACCTACCCCAAGCCCAGTGAACAAGTTGTCTTTGTTTTTTACTCAGCCACTGATAGAGCCAGGGGATTCTTGGATATGGCAAGTGTTGAACAAATGTGTAAATTCAAAACGTCTATGACATAAGTCCTGAACATGTTGGGAAATCCTGTATAGAGCATAAAGGCAGTCAACGCATGAATGTACCCAAAGCAACCACACCAGCCGAGTTGTTTATCGTCTCCTTTCTCTTAACTAGTCTCAACAAATGAAAAGGATATGATAGCAATAATAAAAGCCAAGATAAAAACAATCAATATAATACTTATTCCTTACCAATCTTCACCAATACAGTATTGTATTTGTTTTTTCCGCTCTTCCCATTCTCTCCGATCATTCGCTTGGAAATTATATTGGAGAAGATTCCATGGAGAGTTGACCCTTAGAAGCGATCCGTGAGCTGAGTTAATAGCGACCACCAGCAGTTTCTATCTCATGGTCTATCCCTTTGGGACACTAACCACCTATCTAACCTTCCAGACATTCCAAGGGCAGCAAAGGGAGGAGGAGGAAGGATATAGACAGGTGACCGCGTAAAAACCCATCCCTTTATCTCAGACACATTCACACTCTAAAAAATCCCCTACCCTAGCACAGCTCTCACTCATATCTTTCCCTTTCCATCTCTTCACCTCTTCCCTCTGTCCTAGCAAGCACTGCAGCCGAGTTGTTCATTGACTTCCTGAAAGTCCCTTTTTGATTCCTGAGCTCCGACACCTTTCAAATGTAACCAACCCATTAGTTCCAACTGAGCCAAGAACACCAAAATCCCCAAAGCCTTTGCAACCAAGGGTTCCAAGGTTTTCCACTCGTGAGGCCGTCGACCTGACAGACCAGCTGGACGAAGCCAGTGCAACGGCCAGTGAAGTGGAGGGCCACATTGCCGCAAGCGACCCAAGCCCTTGGGTCCGCATTTACTCGCCGGAGCCAAGCTCGCCAAGCAGGAAGTCCTCCACCGGCAAGGAGCTGCGGGGACTCGAGATTTTGCCCCTCGGAAAAAGCAAACAAGGCTGAAAAGCCAAGGATGCCAAGGGATGCTAAATCGCTAACGTCCAATCCAAAAGGAAACCACAAGGGGCATGGACAATTGATCGTTTCTTTATGCTGGACCCACTTAGAAGCAACATCATACGACGTGCCCGAACAAGCGATCGCCGAGACAGCACCTTGGAAGCCATGCCCTGAAATGACCGTTGGCCAAACAGGGTTCCTGACATTTCCCCTTTCATCACCCAACAAAACGATGAAGCCTTCGGCTTTTCTCGGGCTTTCCTAAGGTCCACCTTGAGTCCGGATAGCGACGCTTTCGCCAAGATGAAGCCTAAGCTGGATCACGTGGCTGGCATCCTGGTGCTGCTGAACATGCTGGTGATGCAACTTGGCTATGTCTCTGTTTTGAGGGTCCACCCATTGTGACCTTTCAGGGGAAAACCAAAGGAACGCGATTTCAGGGTCTTTTTTGAGTCGAGGTTTAAAAGGAAACCAACAGGACAATGATGTTTGGGGGTCCACCGAAATAACAGGAGTCAAAATACAAATCTGGACCCCGAAATTTGCCGGTTTTGTTTTTGGCTTTCTTGAAGCCAATGCCGACACAAAAAGAGAAGCCCCCCCCCCCTTTTGCTACCCTCCCTCCATTCATCCTAGTTGCCCAGTGGCACCATGTTTTCTATTTTTGGGAAGGGTTGCCCTTAAAAATCAATCAAGAAAGAGAGGGTGGCCCCTTTTTGACCCATGGCCAACGGGCGTCTGAGTCATGGAAGTCCCCAAACGTCCACTGATCAGTTGATGAACGCGGGTACTGTAGGTCATGTCCCCAAAAAATGGAAACCCAGGATGAATAACCCCCAGGTCGGTTGTTGATTGAGGGGTGTTTCCATTTTAGAAGGCGTCCAAATCACTTGTTGCAAACTTGGGAGGCGTAAAAGGACCCGGTGGATCGACCCACCACCCCATTTTGGGGACACACATGCAATATACATGAAATCAAGGGCGAGATGCAGAAGATAAAGCAGAAAAAGAAGACACCTCTTTGCCTCGTGTGACTGTTATCAGCATATCAGGAAAGCTAAGTCTTCATCAGCCAACTGGTAAGGTATCCCTTCCAACCTCCAACCCAAGCCCCAACAGAGAGGCAGTTAAGCTTCCCTCATGTAATAGAGAGCACCCTCAAAGAGGAGGTCCCTTTGTTTAGTCAAAACATGAAACAATTCCCCCTTTGTGAGTCAGTAAGCCGGGATTGACTAAGCAGTTGCTTTCACCCAACTGTACATCCCTAGATGCTTTTTGAAGGTACCCCTGGGTCGGATTGGAAATGAAAGGGGGGCCATCAACTTTTTGGAGCCCTACTTTGACACAACCCATTGTGACAGGTTTGT